TGTGTGTACGCTATCCCATGCAGCTGCGGAAAGGAATATAAAGGAGAGACAGGCCGCCCCCTCAAGGTAAGGCTTCAAGAACACCAGAAAGCTGTAACGCGAGGGAAGTAGAAAAATCAGGCGTGGCTGACCACATATGGAGAGAGAAGGAGATCACCGCCCCCTGTGGGATCATGTTCAGATCATAGACAGGGAACACCATTGGAAAAAAAGTAAACTTAAGGAATCAGCACATATGCTAGGCCACAAAAATCTCCTGAGCCGACCAAGCATAGAAATAAATACAATATGGGAACCAGTAATAAGGAGTGCCAGAGAAAAGCAATGATAACAAAGTTGCAATATGAACTCTGGTAAAGACATGCAATGATAACAGCAAAAATTGCAATATGAGCACTGGTAAAAATGATGCTGAAAACATTAGGTTTATAATACTCAGAAGTTCATACCCATGGCACAGTGGATAAAGGCGTTGGTTAGATCCAGTGACAGACCCAAAGAAGGTGAGTTCAATTCCTGGTTAAGGCAGTGGAGAACTTTCAGAGGGAAAATTAGCAGGAGATAACTGATAACTGACATCCATCAAAAACATGGCACGTGGAATTAGAACAGTCTACCCCAGTGATCGAAATAAAGGGTTCAGTTCGAAATTCCAACCACCTGAAGAAGGCCAGAGTGTACAACGGCCGAAACGTTGTGACAAATATGGCGACAAAGATGAGGACAATAGTCCGACTAATGTAAATACGGTAACTTTAGTTGTTTCAAAAAAATACTGTGAATACATCCAGTGATAGAAAGCCTTGTTACCAAACCAAAATTCTTATGACGACTGATTTAATTCTATACACGTCAGTATTTAGGAGCGTTACAAATCTGATTATTTTATATTCATGTATTCAATCACCTCCTGATAATTATTACTCATTAGCATTCAATTAATTTATCTTTTTTTTTTTTTTAAGTACGCCTTATGAAGATGTTTCTAAATATTCATTTATTTTTGTTTAAAAAACCATTATAAATTAGGAATTACTTAGAAAATGATGTGTGTGTTTAATTTTATAAAAGGAAATAAAGAATTGTAAAGAAATAAATGGATATATTATGTACTAACAATGGAGAACGTGCATATATATAAGTCCTAGTTGATTGGCATTTCTCTTAGTTTAGACAAAATTCTATAAGGATACATTTTCTTTAATATAAATGCATCAGTTTTGATGTAAAATATAAAACCTATATCATGACACTCTTAGAAGAGGTTAAGATATTAATAAAAGAAAAAACTTCTTTGTGTCTAAATGTTTATAAATTTGGTTGATCAATTGTTTATGAAAAGTAAAATGACAATGATGAAAGAATAATGACTCAGAGATTTGCTTATTGCATCAGCAAAATTATTCATCTAACCCTGCCTTTAAAACCATATGTCTGACATTGTTATGATGTCTTTTGTGGTTTGGTATCTGGCTATAGGTTTGTGGTTCTATCACCTTCTCTTTGTATAACTGTACTTTGTGGATCAGATGAATGTTTGGTGACTATTGTTGTTTGGAAGTGAACTGAGTTGGTTGCCTCTTCATGTTCATTGGCACTTTCTTTGAACCAATGTACTAGAGCTGACCCAACTCTGTCTCTTGCTGAAAATCAAATTACAAAGGTTTTCACCAAGGGAAAGATTTTTTCTCATAATGTTAAACAGCCGAACACGTGTAATCTGAATTGACTCCTTTTAGAAAGGAAATTCTAATTGTCAGCAAAGGGAAAAGAGAGAAAATGCATGAAAGAGAGAGACTTTGAATTTTTTTTTCATTCCTAGCAGTTTCAGGCATGTGTGTTTACTAAGAGGCAAAAACTATCGCTAAAAATTTTTTTTAAGAGAAACTTCTTTTATAAGGAAATCTCGGACCGTCGTAATTGGTAATCATTAATTATATCCAACTATTCAGTCAAATAAGACACTCAAGCCCACTACATCTAGTTTGATAAACAAAACCATTTTTTTTTCATTTACTTGTATTCCTTTTTTCATGATGTTTGATGCTAATCTCTGAATTTGGATTTACCGACTTTATCTGGTGACCCTATGAAATCACACAGGCCTGTTTCATTCTGATACTCAGGATAATTATTTTTTTAACTCTATCATTTATTTGATTATTTTTTTTCTGGCAAGGATTTTCACACATTGGTGAATTTTTTCAACTCCTCAGTATCAGATATATTATATTTCTGAAATATGATATATAAATATTTCCAACAACATGTAGGAGCCATTTGTTAGACTTTCTAACTTAAATCTTTAACCTTATTTCCTTGACTTTATATACGTAATATTACACAAGTCCACCTGTATCCAGATATGTTTTTTTAAGTGAGAACAGCTTTCTCTATTTATTCATATGATTAGTTTTCATATATTATATACTGTGTATATGTCGATGTACAAGGCAACCTTTTAACCAAAGGCATGGGAGATTTTTAGCAGTAAGGTAACCCTTGCATTGGTAACTATTGACACAAATATTTTCTACTGAAACAACTTAATTCACATTATAATAAGTGCAGTGTAATAATATGCTTACTGTATTTATTTAATAAATTCAATACATTTTAAAATATGATTGGGGAGGGGGTCATCTTGTATGACAAATATAGCCCAAAACATTTACCTTGAAAATTTATGAGGGGGGGGGTCATCTTATACACCCATTCGCCTTGTATGCCAGCATATATGGTATTAAAGATGGGGAGGAGGCTATTGATTTTCAGCTATATCTTCTTCCTACAAATGATTTTTAATAGCTTTTAGTAATTTGGATTATTTTAAAGCTTTAGTTTTACATCATCTTAAGCAATGTATGTTTGTGTATGTGGCTTTCATTTTCTTGATGATGGGGCTAATTGTCATTAAGTCTTACTATGAAAGGATTTAATATATGCACATGTATTGCTTAGATAGTTGCTCTGCTTTTTTGTTCATATGGGTTTTAGAGAAAGAATTTTTACTACTCCATGTGGAATATAGAGCCACAGCTTCACCATGCTGCTGCTGTGGTTGTCATAGTACACAGGCTTTTTACTGGGTGAGATTGCTAACTCCATGTCTGACCAGTTTGAATTCAGTGTTATTCTTCTCTGAGACTGGTTGTCAACCAATGCTAGGGAACTTCATCTGCTGTGCTATTTAACCCATAGCTGGGATTGAAAGGAAATGGATTCATAGCTTTCTCCAAGAATATTTATGGGGAAAATAACTGCAGTAGCCTTGACCATAATTTAAATGGCTTGCTGATCACGGTGTCTATGTTCATAATCATTCTGCTACACATACACATAATGGGAGTTTAAGATATGAGAAATAAAAATAAAGAATGTGACATAAGGAGAATTTTGTGTCAATATCGTCTTCACATGTCTGTCTTTCTGGAGGTATTTATCATTGTTTCATTAACAATCATTTTTTGTTGAATAGATTTTAAGATCAACATCTGTAATTATGTGTCTCCTTTTTTCATATGATTCCTCCCTTAAAAGCTATTTTAATATAAATACATATTTAAATAATGTTTGCTTCTTTATCTATTTGTTATGCGTAAGGAACATAAGTTTTGTCTTTTCAAAATTGTTTTATCATACAGCAATAACAATGCCTCCACTCTAAACTTTATAGAATCTTGATGAAACCATATCTTTTTTTTTTTTTTCTAAGTTATCTATTTTTTTTTTTTTTTTTTTTTTTTTTTTTTTGAAAATGAATTCAGGTTTACTTAACTATAAATCATAGATGGTTTTCATTTCAGTTAATACAGTCACCTCATGATTAAGACACCCAAATGAATGACATAATAAACATGTAGTAATAAGTATATTTGCATCAATTTTTCTGTGTTTTCACTTGTATTGGTCAGACTTTGAAAATATCAAAGAAAAAAGGGTTTATTTTCTTTCCCTCTTTAACGGATATCTTTCATTTTGTTTTTCTATATTTCTTGCATTTTTTTTTTTTTTTTTTTTTTAAAGCTACTGAATTTTTATTCCCAAAGTACATAATCTCTTTCAATTTGGTAATATTTGATTACAACTAATTAACCTTATCTGCATGACATTGTGACATTATTTAATTCTTTACTGATTGGCTACTTAACAAAACCATTCAAATTGTGTTGACTCATCTGTATGTTTCATGAATCTATCCATTTCATCAATATGAGGTTCACTTTATTTGTTTTATAAAATAATTTTACTTTGAAAACATGATTTGCTTTCTTGAAGTGTCTTCCATTACAGTTTCTTTGTGTGTGTCCATTTAATTTCCTTGATGATATTGCTATTTGTCATGAACTGTGAAAGGATTTAATATATACAATTTCTAAAAGTCATACTCCTTTACTATATATTCAAATTGCATACCCAATTTTCCTCTACAAATACCAAGTAGAAATCCTCAAGTTTGACCTCACAATTGTGTTGTACATTGAAATACCTGCATGTCATATTGAAAAATTGAACTGATGTCAATATATAAATCCAGCTTACATTTTATTTACAGCCTTTATTTAACCACAAGATTTATATTTACTTTAGAAACAGAATTATAAAGGCATAAAGTTATCTTGAATGCAATTGCTGTAGAAAAAACTATTGTAACTTGTGCGTTATTTGTTATTAATTTTGTGTATTAAAATTTTGTAAGCTTTAATTTTTAATTTGGAATAAGAGGTTGTCTAATGCATAAAGTTTTTAAGTAGGCACTTGTTAAAAAATATTGGTCTTTAGGTTTTAACAATTTTCATATTTAAATTGCTATATAATTTGTATTGACAAAAAATATTTTTCTGTAATTAAAGCCTCTTATGTTTTGAAGATTAAATGATTTTTCTCTTTATTTTTTTTTCTAAAGCAGTTAGGTCAGTCATCATTAAAGTATTTTTGAATACCTATGTTCATTTATCAAAGGCCAAACTAATTCTACTTCTTTCCTTCTCTCCTAACAGCATCCAAATCAAAGATGATGATTCAAGCAACTTAAAACACAGCATTGTGCAAACGCTTGTGTCTCCACCAGGACCGCTACCGTCCACATCGTCTCGCACTCCAGCTAGTCCAGCGAGGGGCAGCTTTAGCCGAAAGTACAGCCTCATCAAAGAAGAGTCAGTTGAAGAAGAAGGCAGCTGTGAGGAGGTTGAGTTTAAGAGTGTGCGTTCTGCAGAAAATTTGATGGACTCCAACAAACGAGCTTCATCTGTTGAGCACATGTTTTCTTTAGACACATCAGCTGTTCGTCGACCTCTTCACTCGGTGGCCAGCTCTCCACAGCTTCTTAATCAGATCTCAGAAGAACGTGAATCAGATGAAGAGGAAGACATTCCTTTGACAATGCTGCCTACTTCTTTGTCATCCTCTGCTTCCTCCAAAGTGGCCTCTCGGAACATTTATGGCTGTCGTGCCAATATGGCTTCACCTGAAGTTCTGCATAAATACGAGCAGCACAAGAAGCGGCGTGGCACTGGTCAACGGGGCACAAGTTGCAGCAGCTCTGATGCTAGTGACACAGATGATACAGACAGCATTGCTCGCAAAGACAAATTGAAGCACAAGTTTGCAACACGACGTGACAGTAGTGACCATTCTAGTGACAATGATGGCCCAGGTGGGATTGGTGGGATGTCTGGGGGTCCTCGCCCTTTAGGGCAAGGCGGTACCACTGGAAGCAACAGGCAGAACAATAAGCCAAATAACAGCAACCAGCAAGATAAATCCTCTGATAACAAAGGGAACAGAGGTTCCAGTGGAAAGAGTTCGAAAGGCAATGACCCCAACAGTGAAAGCTGCAACCATGACTGTGACAGCAATGGCGACAGCAACATTGGTGGAGGAAATCAACCACAGGCAGTTCTTGCCAACTCCAACTCTGGCTGCAGTTCACGATTGAGTGGAATAAGCATCAATAGCTGTGAGATGAAAAACTCAAATTCTTTGGTGTCGTCCAACAACAGCTTCTCAAAGCTGTGCATTGAGGACAATCTGTGCTCTGAGCAGCAGGACTGCAAGCGAGTGAAACAAGGACCCCCTAATGACTTGGATGTGAACTATCTGAATGAACTCAATGCTCAGATCTGGGAGGTGAAATCCCGGGCTAACAATGACTGTAAAGAAACGTCAAAGGCACCATTGCCTGAGGATGTGTTGTCTATATGCTCGGCAGATTGTAGCTTGCACATTCGAAAAGGCAAACGGTTTGGTCGCCGCATCAAGACAGACATCAACCGGAATGGCTTAAAGCCTGGCTTCTGCAAGATGGCTGGCTCCTCAAAGTCTAGCAATTCAGTCAAGGTAGAGACCAAATGCTGTTCACTGGTCTAAGTTGTTGTTGTTGATGTTGTTGTTGCTACTATAATTATTACTTGACTTATTAAGTAATTGAAGGCTTCCACTTCAACACCTTTGTATTTGGAGCAGTGGCTTGTGTTTTATTTTTTTATTGGTAATTGTCCCCCTCCCCAATTTCAGCTTCCCCATGCCTGTCTATTCGGCTTTCTTTTTGGACATATCGACCCACTATCATCTTTGTCATCACAATCATCTTCATTGGTTGTTAAAGCTTACTAAAAAAAAAAAGAAAAAAATATATATATATATAAATAATTAAGTTGTTTCGGTCTCCCACTCCTTTTCTCTCTCTTTCTCTCTCTGTTTATTTTTTTTTTTTTTTCTTTCTTTTTATCCTAACTTTGTTCTCTATTTCTCTGCCATTCTTTGGAAATGTTAACGTCCAGAATCTGCTGCGACAAACAAGAATTTATCTTTTGGAAATAAAAGAAAATATATTCAATGAAATCAAACGAAAAAAAAAAAAAAGTAACATCTTAAAATTTACATCTACTTTACTTATTCTTTATTTCTCATCCTTTCTTCCTTTACTTTTTCTTTCTCTCATCCTTTTTTTCTCTTCTCTTGCTTCCTTTACTTTTTCTTTCTCTCATCCTTTTTTTCTCTTCTCTTGCTTCCTCTACTTTGCTTATTTTTTTTTTATCTCTCATCCTTTTTTCCTCCCTCTCATTCACTCCATTTTCAATTCTTTGCTATCCATTGTTTTACAAGGTCCTCAATGTTTGTGGATTTTTTATAGACTCAAAGTTCTGACCCTTAGTTTTTTTGTTTTGTTTTTTCCCCTCCTCCTCTTAAATTTCCTCTGTAGGGTCACTGGAATATCAGTTGCACCAATTCTATGCAATTGGTTTCAAAAGAACAACAACAACAACAATTTATTTATTTATATTTTGGTTCTTTTTCATCTGTATGGAACTTTTTCAAAACCAATGCAGAAGGTAAACTCCCTCTTCCCCATTCCTGACTACATCAAAAGAATTTGCTTTGCTTACATCATTTTACTTTGTATTTGATACTCGGGGTGGGTAAAATAGGGAACTACTTTTTTCTTTTTAGGGTGTAAAAAAAGACTTCTAGTATAAAGTTGTCCTGTTAAAAGTTAGTTTCTTTTTTTTTTTTTTTTTAATAAACTCCTCCCTGCTCTCTTTCTCTCTCTTTGTATATTATAATAGATTCATGGGTGGGCATATTGAGTGGGGAGGGAACTGCTTTGTCCACACTAGTTGGGTAGTTTGTATTTTGTTAATCTTTTTCTATGATGATAAATATTATCATCTTGTTTTGTTGGAAATTTTTTTAATATTATTATTATTAAATAAATAAATTTCAGTTTCAAGGCTCCACCTTGAAATGAATTACCAAGTTGATACTGAGTTTTAATATCTGTGTCCAGTTTATTTAAAAAAACAAAAAACAAAACCTGATTATTTGTAAGTGCATACAAACAAAATACATCTCTATCTCACACTCACACACACATTCTCATTGCTTAATGGCTCTACACTTAAATTTATTACAAATTTGGTAATACAAAAAAATAAATTAAAAAAAATTTTTTTTATTATTATTTAATATTTTTTTCAGTTGAAGTTATGTTAATTTGCTTTTTACACACTTAATACAAATCAATTACAAATTCTGTTTAAGGAATCTGAGAATTGTTTGAGGGTGAATCTGGAGATATTTATTTATTTATTTATTTATTTTTCTTTTAACTATTTCTTTCTATTTGTGGAAATGGTTTTCACTTTGATCCTTAACTTTCTTTTGCCTTTTGTCTATCCAACTTGTGAAACCCATTTGCTTTATTATAAAATGATTCTTCAGTTATGAATTTTAAAACTCATATTGAGTTGAATTAATATTCATTATCTGCCACTTTTTATTTATTTTCAATTGTTTATGTAATTTCATTTATTTTCTGCTTTGAACTCGAAATCTTTATCTGATCACATCAACACGCATATTATGAACACAGTAAAATACAATGTATATATTTCCATATAGACCCCCATATAATATCACAACAGTGTTAGATTTGGTAACAAGAAACTTGCTATCACACAGAGTTGGCATAAAAAAAACCCTGCTCACTGTCAAAAGACAGCTACTATACAAGTAAAACAGAATTAAACTTGCACATGAATAAAAACTGCATCTTTATCTAATCCTGCTAAGGTGGGAAGATCAGCTGAACATACCTGAAGATCAACCATTTTGAAACTGTCAGTTGTAGTTTTTATTCATCTGTTTAAATTATTTTTACTTATATATAAATGTAATATGCAGAATCTTTGGGTGACTTTTTTTTTAGAATGCATGCATACACATGCAACAATGTCTAGTGACAGTTATTGTGCAGATGTATCAAGGTATGTGTGTACATAGACATTAGATGAACACCAAAATATTACGTGCATATATATATATATATATATATATATATATATATATATACACACACACACACACTGATAGGCTAGAGTTAAATTATAAATGTAATTACCAAAGGCGTAGATAACCCTGCAATAAATGTAAACATACCACATGTACTCACAGAAATTGTTCTTTATTATCTATATACATTTATTGATTTAAAAGCTCATGCATTTGTCAGCATCTTGCTGCCAGTACCTTATCTATAAATAATATTGGTACGTTATTGTATACAACTGATTTTTCATCCAAATCTGCTGACAGGAAGAGAGAAACCTTCAATAAACAATGCTACATGCAATTTTAATGATAAATATCAAAGAACTGGCACAATGGTTTTTAATAGAATAAAAACAAACCAAGCGTGAAACAATGTTGACTTTTTAAATCTTTTAATTGAATAAATGTGTGTCAGTCCATTATTGTGGTGATTGTAGCCTTCTCATAAGATGGGATTTGATTTCAGTCAGTTGCACTCTTCAGCTCTTTTTAATTGTGAATGCAATACTAATAAGTTTGGAAAATCTGGATTCATTCTAAAATCATTGTCTTTGTTGTTTTTTTTTTTTTGTTTTTTTTTATCATGGCATTTGGACCAATGTATTCTAATTATCTGCAATTGACAAGATATACTACACATTGTTATCTTAAACCAGATACAGAAATTTGAATGTTTCAGAAACAGAATACATTTTAGTTTAGGTCACCTTTAAGTGGTACATTTAAGTTTAATCTTTTCTTTGTGTTTCCCCCCTTCTTAAAATAGTTTCTGTCTTGTTCTCAGAGAAACAATGGAAATAAGTTTGTTTTTTGTTTTTTTTTTATTGCTTCAAACAGAAATTGCTTTATGGAACTCGAATGATTAACTGTAATTTTGTTATCAGTGGTTTCTATACTGGACATAATGGAAATGTTGTAGACTGTCCAAGTTCCCATAAGTGCCAAGTAGGTGATGCTTCTGATCACAGACTTAAGATGAGAAAGCTTTGATTCAAAGCATAGGATTTTTCTTAGTATCCACTGTATTGACCTAATTTGAATAATAATTATAAATAATGACTTGTCATACCAATTCTTTCACAGACAATATTATAATTGCCTTTTTTCTTCACAGATGGGACACAACATTAAAGATGAGAAGATTGAATTCAACAGATTCTAAATTTAAATCATTGCTTTGTTTTATTCATAAGGAAACTTAATAATTTTTGTTTAATTTTCTGGCAGAATGGAGCAGAAGTTCTCTAGTCTCCTATGCCACCATCTTTTGAAAACTTGATAGTGCAGAGCATTTCAGCTAATGGATTGATCAACTAATTTTAAAATGCTTGGCTTTTTGGTGACTGAGGAAAAAAAAAAGGTACACTTTGTTAGGATAGGAAAAAAAGTCAGAGAAAACAGTAATGTCCTACTTTTTAATAAAATAAGTAATATTTTCAGTTATTTAATATATCTTAATAAAAATAATATTTAACTTATAATAATGAAATCAGTAATGCTTTAATAAACTAAATGTTGGCAATAAGTTTTAAAATAATATTCTGATAAACTATTTTCCTAAAACATTTATTTTATTCCTACAAATATAACTTATTTTTAAAGATATATTAAATAAATTATTTTATTAAAAATGCTACTTATTTTTCCTATGACTTTTCCTTAATCTAACAAAGCATACTTTGACATTCATACAACTGACTCTTTTTCAACTCAAAAGGGTTTATTGGAATAAGAGATAAAGGTGTTATGTTTGGTTCTCCTACTACTATACTTTATATTATCTATATAGCCTGTTCAAATACTTATTTAATTGAATTTCAGATATACCTTCAAGGTTTTTTGGGGGTTTTTTTATCTTAAACAGATCTGTTGGTTTTTATTTACTTGTACCTTTAGTTTTAAACATGTATTTGTTTATTTAAACATTTATTTCATCATAGATATTGTGACACTGCTCAAAAATCTACCTATTTGTCAATTAGTCTATTTTGTTTTATTTATGTTGTCTAATCTAATGTAAGAATATTGAATTATCTAAGTTTTGGTGTGCCTAGATATTTCTTTTGTCCATCAGTTTTTTGGGTTTTTTTTTTTTTTTTTTAAAGCTGCCCCATTTCTAGATTATCTCATATTCACTAGCATCTGAAGATTTTGATTGTTGGTTTTCTCTTAAACAGAAGTCATCCTTTCAAATGAATTATACAGACAAACCACTTAACAAATCCAAGAATGTCTTTAACCATGTTAGCAAAAAAAAATTGAAACTTCTACACGCTGTCATTTCATTAGACATATTGCTATCTGCCTGAATATCCTTTTCTTTTATGGAAGGTCAGTTTTCTTTTTACCTGACTACATAATTATTTTTCTGTTCCGAAAACTGTTAAAATCACATTGGCAAATTTAGATTTCTATAGAGATTGTTTATCAAATATTGTTTCTCTATTCTCATAACAAAACAATTTATCTTAAATTTATTTATAAGGAAACATATTTTATCTTAAATATGCTTCTGTAGAAAGTGACATTAATTAAAA